CAAAAAAAAAAAAAAAATAACCCATATAATAATAATAATATAAAAATAAAAGAAAAAGAGACCCCAGTATGTATGTCCCTTTCCTTCCAGCTCCCATCACTTCTCAACATGGCCCTATTGGCCAAATTGCTCCAGAAGCCAGAGGGAAAGTGGTTTGGGAAATGTAGTCCCATGTGAGTGCTTACAACATTGTGTTGCCACAGCAATCATTTTCAAATATGCTTAACTTTCTCATACCACAAGCAAGCCTCAGTTACACTGAACTCTGGAGCTGAGACTGTTCCCCACTGGGATGACTCCATCCAGTGGTGAGATATAAAAATTTACAGGTATCTCTCTTGGAAATGGACTGGTCAGATATTTGCTGTAGAATTTAGTGACAGTCCCAGCACAACGCAATCTTGATGCCTGTTTGCTCTAACTCTGCCAGTTGGGCTGGGGGATGGCTTAGTGGGTAAAAGTGTTCTGCTGTGCAAGCATGAGGAACTGAGTTTGGATCCTCAGAATCCACATGAAAAGCCTGAAGAAGCACAAACATCTGGAATTCCAACACTCCTCCAGGAAGAGGGGAGGCAGAGCCAGGAGAGTCCCTAGAAGCTCGTGAACCAGGGAGCCTGATGTATAGATCAGAGGGAGAGTCAGAGAACACAGCAGAGACCCTGTCCCAAACAAATGTGGACCTGAGATCATCCTCTGACATCTGAAATGGCATGAGCACCCACGTTCACACACATGAATGCACACATACACACACATACCTTACATGTACACAACGAGAAATTAATAAAAATTAGTACTTTAGGGACTGGAGAGATGGTTCTGTGGTTAAGAGCACTGGTTGCTCTTGCAGAAGACCCAGGTTCAGTTCCCAACACCCACATAGCTGCTAACAACCATCTATAACTCCAGTTCCAGGGGAATCCAACACCCTCTTCTGGCCTCTGCAGGCACTGTATGCATGGGTGCACTTACATGCAGGCAAAAGACTCATACACACAGTAAACAAACAAACAAATGCTTTCTTAAAAAGACAAAACAGGGGCTGGAGAGATGGCTCAGCAGTTAAGAGCACTGACTGCTCTTGCAGAGGACCCGGGTTCGATTCCCAGCACCCACGTGGTGGCTACGAACCATCCTTAACTCCAGTTCCAGGAGAATCCAAAGCCCTCTCCTGACATCCATGGCATTGCACAACATGGGTGCACTCATATATATGCAGGCAACACACTCATACACATAAAATAAAAATAATAAAATATTTTTTTAAAAAAGACAAAATACCAGAGGCTAGAGAGCTGGCTCAGTGGTTAACAGCATGTACTGTTCTCTCAGAGGACCTGGGTTCAGTTCTCAATACCTATGTTAGGTGGCCCACTACTGCCTGCAACTCCAGCTCCAGGGAATCTGACCCCCTCTTCTAGACTCTGAGGCACCTGCACTCACAAGTGCAAAGACACACACAGATGCACACATATACACATAATTTTAATATTTTACTTATTTTTTTAAACTTTTTAAAAAAACTTTATTATTTTTTCTTATTTTATGTGTATAAATGTATTGCCTGCATGTAGGTAAGTGCACCCATGTCGTTCAATGCCCAAGGAGGTCAGAAGAGGCTGTCAGATCCCCTGGGACTGGAGTTACAGACAGTTGTTAGCTGCCATGTGGGTGCTGGCATTAGAACCTGGGTCTTCTGTAAGAACCACCAGTGTTCTTAACCGCTTAGCCATCGCTCCAGCACTTTATTTATTATTTTTATTTTATGTGTATGAGTGTATTGCCTGCATGTGTGTAAGGGCACCCATGTCATCCAATGCCTACGGAGGTCAGAAGAGGGCATTGGAATCCCCTGGAACTGGAGACACGGTTATTAGCCACCATGTGGGTGCTGGGACTCAAACCCGGGTCCTCTGCAAGAGCAGCCAGTGTTCTTAACCACTGAGCCATCTCTCCAGTTTCTGTATAATTTTAAATGATAAAAATCTTGGGCTGGAGAGATGGCTCAGAGGTTAAGAGCACTGACTGCTCTTACAGAAGACCAGGTTCAATTCCCAGCACTCACATGGCAGCTATGAACCATCCTTAACTCCAATTCTAACCTCCGCGGCATTGCGTGACACAGGTGCACTCATATAAATGCAGGCAATACACAAATATACATAAAATAAAAATAATTAAAAAATATTTTTTTTTCAAACCACAACAATTAAAGGTCTCCCCATAGGGAACTGGACATAGTGGCACTTGACTGTAATTACAGCCCTCAGGAGGGGGAGGTCAGTAGATCAGAAGTACAAGCCATCCTTAAAATGTCTTGGCTTAGGGATTCAAAAGTGGATATTGAGGAGACTTGTCCCTTCGAATAAGAGAGTTATTAGGAGTTACTAATGCCGTAGACAATAGTACAGTGGGGGCTCTGGGTAGAATTCAGGCCTACGAGGCAGAGTGGGGGTCTTTTCCTACAGATCTAAAAGGAGGGGGGTTTCATGCATGTTGATGAGTGGTCCATAGTGCTGCCTGATACAGGCTGACTCAGATTCCTGGTGGCAGGGGAGGGGGAATGAGGTCCTGCATTGCTAAGAAGGAAGGAAGGAATCTGGCGAATGCGTGACTTAGAAGACCTGGGGGAAGTGGAGAAGAGAGGCACATTTAATTACCGTGTACCATGAGCCCCAGTAGCCTAGTGTGTAAGGCACTGGCCTCCTAATGAAGGTATACCCAGTACAAGGATAAGGACACAGGGACATGCTGTTGGTGGCGCTCTGTAGCCTGCTTGTAAATTTCCTTGGGGAAATTCGAAATAGGCTCCAATTTTTCTGGAATCCAGACACCCAGGGAGCCTGTTAAAGGGTTATAGAGTCACAGGCATTTGTTTTTTCCTTCACAATAGTTTTAAGAAAGCTGTGGCTGAATTCGTTCCTAACCCTAAAGTTAACAGTCCTCCGCTAAATAGTGAGTTTGAGGCCAGCCTGGGCTTCCTGATACATGAGACCCTGACTTAGAAAAAAAAAAAAAAAAAAGAGGGAGTGGTCTTTGTGGGAAACCAGTTTGGACCCAATAAAGGCATGGCACCCTTTTTCCTGCCCTCCTCAACCCCTACAATCTTTAAGTACAATAACAAACTCTTAAATTTTCACTCTGGTTATGTCACTGAAGCTTTGCCTGCGGCCTCATCTTTAATGACAGAACTATCCAAAAGGCCCCATACAGATCATGCAGGTGGATGCCTGGCTCTGGGGGCTGCTGCCACTGTAGCTACTGGCTGAGTTCATATTGAAATGCAAAGAGTTTCATTCAAAACAAAGAGAAGGATGGGGTACACCCCGGACTCCCCAGCCCCACCCCACAGCCTAACACGGGACACTTGCTAAAAACACGACTCAGTAAACGCTCTCACTGAGTTAAGTTGGATGCCACAAGGGGCTTTTGGAATGTAAATGACCTGATGATTCAGGATCCTATGACCACGAGTGGGGCTGTCACTCTGTCACCTTTCTTATACCCTTTAGTCCCAGAAGACACTAAGGGAGGGTTGAGGGAGGAGGAGTGGTGGGAGGGGCAGGGAAGAGGGTGGCTCCTCTCACAACTTAAAAGGGGCTCATACCACTTCCTCCCCAGACAGGGGTAGCTGGAGACTAAGAGAGACAAAGACACAGACACAGCCTTCCTGTGTGGCTTCAGCTGCCCAGAGAGCGTCATGGACCTGGGTGAGTAAGCCTCCTCTCCTCTGGCAAGGGGGCGCCATTCTGGGGTCTTCAACACCCAGCTAGTACAATGAACATAGGTGGGGATAGGGGTCATGAGGGAGCCTCCAGAGGAATCAGGGAGATTGGTAGGAATCAGTGGCTACCTTCAAAGAAATCCACCCTGTTGTTCCAAGGAAGTGTACCTGCCCTTTCAGAGGGAAGGGGACTGCAGCCAACACCAGGAAGGACCAGGGCAATGAGGTGGTGTCTTAGCGTGGCAGGCTGAGCTTGTTGACCTGTTCTGGGCTGGGGAGATGAAAGATGCCCCCAGGCACCTCCAAGGACCAGGGGAATTCTCCTTGGAGGACTCAGGACCCTCTGCTCCCTCTCTGAGTCCCTCTTTTCTCCTCTGCTAAACCAGGATTTGAATCCCCATCCTCTTGGGGCTGTAAGGAAGAGAAAGTTGAAGAGGGCAGCACTGTGTGCCATGCAGTGTGAATGCTAGCTGCCCTCAACACACACACACACACACACACACACACACACACACACACACACACATACCACTAGCTTGGTGTCAGCTTTTCTGTTGCCCCTCACAAGATAAGGCTGAACATTAGATAGAATGGCCGGGGGCGGGGGGCAGATTCAGCTTGGAGAAGCCATAGACCTCCAGCACAGCCCCTGATCAAACCCCACACACACTGCAGCCAGGCAGACAACTCCTCTCTTTAAAAAAGAAGCCCTTCCTCTAGTCTAGCCTCCACTACATCAAGGTGCCAGGGAAGCCCCCGGAGGCGCCGAGTGGGTAGACCAGCTCCAGATACTTCAGTTACAAATCTCAGCTACAAAGTCAGAACCAGTTGAGGCTAAAAAGGCCAGGTTCCTAGATGGTTTCTCTCACCAGCAAGTGAAGCACCACCACGGCCTCAAAGCCACAAGGGGTTGGCTTTAAAAAGTGAACGTTCTCTGATGCTGCCCTCACACCCCTCCCCGCCACACCACAGGCTGAGCTTCCATCTCCGCCTCCCCCGCCCACTGTGCATTTACACCCTGTGTCTGGATCCAGCAAACAGAGCTGTGGAAGGGATAAAGTGATCACCACCCCACCTGACAATGAACTTGAAGGCAGAGCTTTTCTTGCATCTCTGCCTCCCAGTTGCTTTTGGGATATAAAGAGAAAATGTTTATGAGATGATGGACTGATGGATGCATGCATGGATGGATGGATGGATGGATGAATGGATGGATGGATGCAATTGATCATTCCAAGTGGTTTTTTTTTTCCTAAGTAGATTTTAGGTTTGAATATCTGTCTCTTCCAGCATCTCCCACCTAGCCTACTTTCTAAGCCCACTCCCCAGACTCTTCCTCCAGAGACCTCTGCCTTCCCTATATTGACTTCTAAAAAGCAGCTCTCGGCCAGAGGAAAGGTCTGAATTCATAGCACTTGTTAATTTCCATGGAGCAAATTCTCCCACCTCAGTTGACACCAGTCAGCAGATTTCAAGATACACGTGCTTAATACAAGGGGGAGGACTGACCCATTGGCTCTGGCCTATCACAAAGTATCTCTCCTAGACTAGGTTTGGGGGTACTAGACTCCTGAGCTTTGGGGTACAGGGCAGGGCAATGTCTGGTTTGGGAAGAAGAGATGTTCTCAATTTTTTTTACTCAACTTGAGAACACCCCAACGGCCGAACTCGAAATGCTGTTGAGAGGGAAGCCACTAAGAAGCTTTGCTCAAAACAGGCTCTGGCCGTTGTGCTACAAAGAATCTGTTTTTCACTTTTTGTCTGCCCAGCAAGGACATGAGGTGAGTAGGGGGCAGAGTTTCTATTACACAAAATGAAAAACTCCAAACCATGACTGAGCCAGCCTCTTTCACGGTTTGAATGAGCAGTCCTGAGGTGGCCCCCCAATCAAGAAATGGGGCCACAGATCTTAGTCCAAATTCTCAAAAACAGAAAAACAAAAAATGAACCTGTGAGAGAGCTGTGTCTCCAGCTTAGCCATAGATGATGGCAAAGGGGGATTCAGGGTGAGATGTTCTTGGTCCTCCAGAAACCAGACTGTGGAGGACAGCATCACTGCTGCCCAGGGTAGCTAGGAGAAAACTCTCTTCTCTGTTTAGTACTTTCTTCCAGTCAACTGTGTCATTGATGGAGAATTTCATGAATGGCCAGTCTGGTGGGAGGAATGGCATAGACATCGATGCATCAGAGCCACAACACAGCGAGGCGCAGTACTGATGGGGTAAAAACAAGATAAAAAGACAGTTATGAACATAAGTCAGGAAAGCATTTGAGTTTTAAAGGATGTGTAGAAGCTGTCAAACCAAATAAAGAAGAGCTAGTGGCCCAGGATGTGGCAGGAGCTTCAAACTCTAGAGCCATCAGAAGCCTACAAGGTAGGGAGGGAGGAAGCGCGGGGACTGGAGAGATGGCTCAACAAGTAAAGTGTGTGCCACACAGTTTGGATCCCCAGAACTCACATTAAAAAGCTGGGCACTCCAGTGTTTGCACCCTGAATTCGGTAGGTGGTCTCAGGCTGAGCTCCAACTCGGTTAAATGGTACAGCAAGGAATGGGATGGAAGCCTGTGCCCCGAGGGTGGTTGCAGGGGTGAGGCCAGCTGCTTCACTGACCTGATTTGTGGGAGAGTCTCTTAAGAGAAACTGATCCAGTACCACCTTTTAAGCTATCTTGTAGATATTATACAAATTATCTATACTTTTCTGGTCCTGCTTTTTCACGTATAGAGGGAATGAAACGTACTTCATGATTTTTTTCCTAATTTAAATAAAATACTGTCTGTAAAGTTAAAAAAAAAAAAAACTGGGCACAGTGCAGAGGTCAGAGACAGGAGGGCTCCTCAGGCTTGCTGGCCAACCAGTCTAGCCAAATTGGCAGGCTCCAGGGTCAGTGAGAGACTCTATCTCAAAAAAACAAAGTGGAGGGGCTGAAGACATGACTCAATGGTTAAGAGCATTGACTGCTCTTGCAGAGGACCCAGGTCAGGTCCCAGCACCCACACGGCAGCTAACAAGCTAACTACCATTGGTAACTCTAATTCCAGGGGATCCAATGCCCTCTTCTGATCACCATGGGCAGGCAAAACACACATACACATAAAATAATTTTTTTTTTGTTTTTTTGAGACAGGGTCTCCTTGTAGCCCCAGCTGTCCTGGAACTCACTATGTAGACCAGGCTGGCTTCAAACTCACAAAGATCCGCCTGCCTCTGCCTCCCAAGTGCTGGGATTAAAGGCATGCGCCACCATGCCCAGCATAAATAATTTTTTTAAAAAGGTGACAAGTGATTAAGGAAGACACCCTGTGTCAACCTCTAGCCTCCATGTGTACACACACACACACACAAATAGATCATTCAGAGTAATCCAACAGGTACATGCCTTAACTAACAGCATCCAAAGCTAACGGTTTTAAAACTCCATGTGCTGCCACATAGAAATCCTCGAACTCCACCTCAGGCTCATAGGCAGTCAGCTCTGGCAAAGGCAGTGAAGACAAGACAGAAACAAGCCGAAGGGAGAGGAAAGAAGCAACTAAGCCAGGCTGGGCCAACCCTTACAACCTGCGTGACAGCACCGGGCAGTCCGCACTTCATCCTGAAACCAGGAGAAGCCAGTGAGGATTTTTCCTTTCCAGTTAGATGAGACTAATGAATGGATGAGATCTGTGTTTTGGAAGGAGCAAAGGACAGCAAAGTCTTGTGTTAAGGGAGAGGAGAAGTGGGCTCCAAGAGACACTGAGAGATAGGAACAGCAGAAATAGAATGGTTAACAAGAAGATGGAGAGAGAGCGTTGTCTTCATCCATGGCGGACCCCTCAGATGTGAAGCATGACATTCATGAGACATTCATGTCTCATTCACGTCTCTGATCCATCTTTTAGCAACTGCATGACTCCAGACAAGTGGCTTAACACCTCTGGGCCTCTGTTTTCTAGAATACAGAAAGAATCACAATTAGTAACTCACAAGATGCTGTGAGGGGGAAGATGCAAAGTGGGAGCATAAGAGAATGACTAGGAGTGTGGTTTCCACAATTAGAAGGTCAGTTGGGTGACCCCGTGGAAGCTGCTGATTGCATGGTGCTTCCACATGGGGCTGAATGCGAACTGAACTGAACGGGGGCTGAATGTCACAGCCGCCTCACAGAGCGGTTAGGAGGATGGACTGAGATTCCATGTGCATACTGCTCAGTAGATACAAATCGTATCAGTGGGTAAAGCAGTTGGTACCCTCATGAGAAGCTCTCACCAGCTCGCACATTCCTGCCTCCCAGCTGTTCTCTGCTCTCCAGACCCCTTAGCACTTCCCTGCTTCTGCCTCCCCTTCTCTCCCATGCTCCCATGGTGGGTGAGAAGGTCCAGAGAGGCAGCTCTGGGGCCAGCCAATAATAGGCAGTCATGGCTCCCTGGGCAGCCTGGAGGACCTGTGAAAATAAGCGGGTGGGAGCTAAGGACGTGGGGTTGGGGGGAGGATTTCCCAGGCTGGGTGGGGGTCAGGCTGGAGTGCTAGGGAATTTTCCTTTCATCATGCTTATTACGTAACTCAGAATTCAGAAAACACCCAACACCTCAATCAACCTTAACCTGACATTCCCAACCACTGGCTAAGAGCAGTTGCTCTGTCAACAGATAGGAGTGATCTGACTCACAGCCACCAGCCAGGTCCCAGGTCCCTCTGGCCACACATCCGAATTCCCCTAAGTTCCCCTGTTAACTGCCTTGAGATGGCCTGTTCTGGACCTACAGGATCCCCCAGCTCATTGTCCCATGTCTAGCACCACTGGAATTAGAATCAACTACACACAAAGGAACAGGACAAAGGTCAGAAAAAGGGACAGAGTAAAATTGAAACAGTTCTTGCCCCTCTGGGGTTTCTCGCTCTCACTGACAGTCAGATTAGGCTTTCTCTACAGTAACTGAAGACTTTGACATGGTGAAAGAAACCTTGAATGTCAAATACCGAGATGAGTCAGGGGAGGGTGGGTGATGCATCAGACCCTGAAAAGAGTGTGGTAAAGAAATGTGGCTTTCAGCTCAGGGGCTTACAGGATAATTCAGTTAGAAACAAGGTATTAGAGAGGGGAGCTATGAAACTGCACAGTGATCCATTCCAAATGCATGGGGGGCAAGCTGAAGACAGAGGGGACAGTGGCTGCCTGTCCCCAGAAAAAGATGTTTCTAGGAAATCAGGCTCAAGTTGACAGTGGAGGGCTTGACCACCATGCTAAGCATAAGGGGCTTCATCTTTCTGGGGGAGTAGGCTGACACTCTCCCTGCCTATCCTCATAATGTTCGAGCCTAGAATCCCAGTAAGGGCCCACACAGCCACATGCACTGCACCCTGGGTGTCATAGGGCTCCAGGTCCAGCAGGTGGTGCTGTAGCCAAGGACACGAAACCTCAGGGCTTGTGCTGCTTCTAGCCTCCAGAGGGCCTCCAGAACTCCAGACATCAGGAGCAGGGTCCCACTCTGCAAGTCTTGTCCTGGCTCTCCTGTGGACCTGATGAACTGAGGTTCAGGGGCTAGAAAAGAACTACAAATGGCAAAGAAAGCCCAGTGCGGGGAAGGGTAGGGGGTGCCCTGGGGTTGCTCCCAGACCAGCCGCGAGTAAGATTTTGATGTAAATTACTGGTCACTTACCCTTCTTGCTTAGCTCTCAGGAGGAAATACAGCCCAAGTCAGCCCAAGGCTCAGCACCAAGCAAAACTAAGTGACTCTCCATGGCACATCCAGGCCTTGTACTTACTTGGGGTCTCTGTCTACAGGGCAGAATTAAGGACAGCCTGCTGTCCCTTCCTGTGTTCCCCATCCACCCATCACCCAAGGCCTGAGATTAGAAAACAAGTCCCAGTAGAGAAAATATACTGTATACTTTGTTAAGCAAACAAAAAAGATAGTGTCATCAGGGACACGTCTGTCCTACTGCACTGACCTCAGTGTCCTCTAGGCTACCCCGATGCTCCCTCCTTTGGAAAAAGGACCAGAACATCTGTCCATTCATTCTTGGTACACAGCTCTTGGGTCTGTGCTTAGGTTAAAGGGAAAAGGCAGGCTGGCGGGGTAGGTGGGCCAGGACACCAACAGTCAATGCTGAATGAATGTTAGTGAATGAGGCTGTACTAGATCCACCAGTGCATTCTTCATTGTTGAAAAAACATTAAGTCGTTGGGCTTGGTGGCCCATGCCTTTAATCCCAGCACTCGGGGCAGAAGCAGGCAGATCTCTGTGAGTTCAAGGCCAGCCTGATCTCCATAGTGAGTTCTAGGCCAGCTGGGGCTACAGAGAGACCCTATCTCAAAAAGACAAAAAAAGAAAAAAAAAAAAAAGAAAGATAGTAAGTGACCTCAGTCTTCCACCCAACTTGTGAAATCCCCTATTTCCTCAGCCCACATCCCTCAGGAGACACTCAGGGGCATCACATGAGGCTGCCCACTCACCTGAGCACCAAGAACTGCTTCTAAACCAGGGAGTCCTGGCACCACAATCTTGTTGAACATGTGTGCACACACCCGGATCACCCAGGGCCTTGACTCCTCTTCCTGCATTATGTAGAATAAGGGGGCAACTCAGAGCCTTCGGGGGGCCAGCGGTTTTGAGGGGTGGTTGGGGTACAGTGAACTCTGTAAACTAGCAGCTGCCTAGAAGGGCCAGGATAAGGGGCTGATCCTGTTTCTATCTCAGACCTGGGAGTAGACGAGGACGGGATGGGGGGGCGGGAGAAAGAAAGACAGGGATGCTGGGCAGCAGGCCAGGTGTTCAAAGGCACAATCTGGTTCTGATATTCTCCTTCAGCAAATGCGGTGCCTGGAGCTTGGGATGAAAGTTCCCAATAGTGTCTCCCCCTCCGCTTTAGTGTCTCCCCCTCCGCTGTTTTCCTTAATAACAAAGGGCTGTTCTTGCCAGGCAATAACCCATCCTTTTCTTGTCTCCTACAGGGAAACCAATGAAAAATGTGCTGGTGGTCGCACTCCTTGTCGTTTTCCAGGTGAGGTTTCCTGCCAGGGGAAGCTCTGTTCCCTCCTCCACATACTCCTCCCAAGCCAGGAGTGCTGGTACATAAGCAGCTTGCTAGAAGGAAATAGAAGACACAAACCCACCTGCCATTCATTAAGCTCATGGCTGCCTTCCTCCATCTGTTGAGTGACCTGGGAGAGCCACAGATGTTCTCTGGACTTCCTTTACCTCCATTTAAATTAAAGCATGGGGAGAAGTAATTTAACCCCACCTCCCATCTCCCCACCCAGGAGACAGAAACACAGATTTTCTGAGTTCTTGGAGAGGGTTGTGTTTTGCAACACAAAGCTCTGAGGGGCCTGGTTTTTGCACATGTGCACACACACCTGTGAGCTGAGAAAAGGACCCTCGGTCTGGTGATCTGGTTTCTAACCAGTCACCCCCAAATTGTCTCCCCCTTGACTTTCAGCCAGAGTCTCCCCGGGGGATGCCCACTCCTAGACATCAGGCCCATTTTCAGAGGGGCACCTGGGGGGGGGGGGGGGGGGGGGGTGCGCGTGTGGAAGCTGTGGGGAGGATGGGTAGATGGAGCACACACTCTATAGGGGTCTGAATGCTGCAGAGCAAAGATTTTCCACCTTGCAGAGTTTCATTCTCTGTCCCAGCAGTGGAGGCAGAAGGTGTACCCCATCAAGTGCAAGAGTTAGAGGAAACTATAACCTCAGAGTCAAGTTACCTTTGTTGGGGTGGGAACTCTGGAGGCGAGGGGAACGGAACGGCCAAGGCCAGCCAGGAGAAGCAATGCTTCAGAATTTGGCTTTCCCCCAGGTCTGGAGGCCAGAGGGGCAGTTTTCCAGGCACTCCAGCCAGAGGCAGGCCCCACACTGGGCACTGTTCCCCAAACTCCATCTCAGAGGCCCCCTAGAGCTCGGGCTAAAGCCCTTGGTCTGGCCCCTTCCCCATCACCACTCCCTCCCTCATGTTCTGCAGGCTGAAAGGCCAGGAAGGGGGTGAAGACGGCTGTGGCTCATTCTTCTCTTTCACTTGGGGGGTGGGGGTGGGGGCTCAGACAAGGCCGGATGTGGTGGGGCTGTGGGCTGTACAGGCATCAAAACTGAGGAGGGGGGCATGTGGAACAGAAGCAAGACGGGGGGAAGGAGAGAGGGCAGGACTGGATGGGGGAGCACAGTTCAAAGAAGCTGAAAGTTCTCTCCTCCAAGAAGCCTAGAAGTCCCTAAAGTCCAGGGACCCAGACCTAAGTGCTTGGGCCTTTCTTTCCCTGGGTGGGCCAAGGGCAGCTAGCCTCTTCCAGGCTCCCAGACTGCAGTCAGGCTTGGAAAAGGAAAGGAGGATAGCTACCCATCTTTCTTCTCAATTTAGCAATACCCAAAGAAAAGGCTCCTGAACACCATTTGGTCCTTACCCTGTCCCAGACCTCAACACCATCTAGTCCTCACCCTGTCCCCAGGCCCACAGTGATGGTACAGACTGTGGACTACTATTGAGCTGCAGAAAATCCTCTACCCAGAGGGGAGCCATGAGCTTCCCAAGGCGGTCTTCCACTGGCCTCCCACCCTGCACAAGGGCCTATCTATCTATCACACACAGGCAGGCAGTAGGCACCCCCTCCATTGATAAAATCACGGCCACAGCAGGCTGTTGAACCTTCACACACACACACACACACACACACACACACACACACACACACCCTCCAGTCCTGCACAGGGTCTAAAAAAAGCCCAGAGCAGCTGAGCCCTGCTGATTGGGATCTGCCAGAAGATAGTCAAAGAGGGATGGGGAGAGGGTAGGAGACCAGAGGAAGAGTGGGAGAAGCTTGCTTCCTTCCACTGGCACAGCCGCCCATAGGAAGGCAGGCATAGAGGAGGAGCCCTGTCCCCTAGGCCCTGCTGTCCAGCTGTCCACTCATTCACAAAAGTTTTGGTACATTTTGGTACACACTACCTGAGTGTAGTGGACACTGCCAGTCCATGAAAGTCTCCCTGTCAGACACTACTCACGGTCACAGCAGTAGTCCCCAAACCTGAATCTTCATAGCCTCCAACCCAAGAGCTCTTTTCTTCCTGCTGTTTTTGCGCCTCAACCTTGACCCTAAGATAGATTGTTCCCTCAAAAGCTGAGGTATGGGACTGGAGAGATGGCGCAGCAGTTAAGAGCACTGGCTGTTCTTGCAGAAGACCCAGGTTTGAACCTCAGCACCCACATGGCAGATAACAACTGTCCAAAACTCCAGCTCCAGGGGATCCAAGGGGCTCTTCTGACATCCTCAGGCATTGCATGACATGGATGCACTTACGTACATGCAGGCAATACATGCATACACATAAATAAGAATATTTTTTTAAAGCGGGGGTATTTTTTAAGCCCCCTGGAAAACTCAAAGATCTGAAGAAGACTCCAGAAGAAAAACACATAGGCTCAACCTGACAGCATTTCCAGAGGTCAAAATAAACCCTCTGTAGCCACAAAAGGAAACCAGAATCCAGGCCAGGTACCTCACAAGTTCAGGAGACAGGATTCATCTCCGTCTCCCAGACAGAGAAAATGAGTGTTTTACCCACTCGGGACTCAGCAGACCCCAAGACCCTAAACTATCCCCAGTCCACTATCGCACAGGTGAGGCCGAGTGTCTTAGAGTGACAAAATCAGACCTTTGCTATTGATGAATAGAAATGTAGACTTCTAGGTCCTGCCTCCCGAACCAGGTCCTGCTCCCCTCACCAGATCCTGCCCCCCCCCACCAAATCAGGGATGTGCATTTTAATTTTGACAAGACCCCACAGGTCATTCACATGCATGCTAAAATTTGAGGAACACTGATTTCAAATAAAAAAAAAAATCACTCAGCATTTAAGGGGAAAAATACAGATTCCTGGGCTTCACTCCCTGAAATGCTGGTTCAACAAGTCTCAGGTGAGGTCTGAGAACTTGCAAGTTCCCAGGGGATCCTGATGACACTTACCCCAGCTGGAGGCTAAGCCCCAGCCAGATTCGGACCCACTAGCTAAACACCTGTTTCCTTCCCCTCAGGTGTGCTTGTGTCAAGATGAGGTCACAGACGATTACATTGGAGAAAACACCACAGTGGACTACACCTCCTACGAGACTGTGTGCTTCATGAAAGACGTGAGAAACTTTAAGGCCTGGTTCCTCCCGATCATGTATTCTGTCATTTGCTTCGTGGGCCTGATGGGTAATGGGCTGGTGGTGTTGACATACATCTATTTCAAGAGACTCAAAACCATGACGGATACCTACCTGCTCAACCTGGCTGTGGCAGACATCCTCTTCCTCCTCATCCTGCCTTTCTGGGCCTATAGCGCAGCCAAGTCCTGGATCTTTGGCATCTCCTTGTGTAAGTGCATCTTTGGCATCTACAAGATCAGTTTCTTCAGCGGCATGTTGCTGCTTCTCTGCATCAGCATCGACCGCTACGTGGCCATCGTCCAGGCCGTGTCAGCCCACCGCCACCGTGCCCGAGTGCTTCTCATCAGCAAGCTGTCCTGTGTGGGCATCTGGATGCTGGCTCTGTTTCTCTCCATCCCAGAGCTGCTCTACAGCGGCCTCCAGAAGAGCAACAGCGAGGAAGCGTGGAGATGCTCGCTCATCACTGACCACGTGGAGGCCTTGATCACCATCCAGGTCGCCCAGATGGTCATCGGATTTCTAATGCCCCTGCTGACCATGAGCTTCTGCTACCTTGTCATCATCCGCACCCTGCTCCAGGCACGCAACTTCGGGCGAAACAAGGCCATCAAAGTGATCATCGCTGTGGTTGTTGTCTTTATAGTCTTCCAGCTGCCCTACAATGGCGTGGTGCTGGCCCAGACGGTGGCCAACTTCAATATCACTAACAGCAGCTGTGAGCTCAGCAAGCAGCTCAACATCGCCTATGACATCACCTACAGCCTGGCCTGTGTGCGCTGCTGCGTCAACCCTTTCTTGTATGCTTTCATCGGAGTCAAGTTCCGCAACGACCTCTTCAAGCTCTTCAAGGACTTGGGCTGCCTCAGCCAGGAGCAGCTGCGGCAGTGGTCTTCGTGTCGGCACGTGCGGCACGCCTCCATGAGTATGGAGGCCGAGACCACCACCACCTTCTCGCCCTAGGGGGCTCCTCTGTCTGGACTACAGGGACCTCTCCCAGAGGCCCTAGGGTGGGGACTGGGAGCACATGCAATGACTCAGGACCCACACCCCAAAGCTGCTGCGGGGAGAGCAGTTTCTGGCCATTCGGGTTGACCTCTAGCCCTAGAAAACAACTTAACTCCAACCCATGCTACCTCAACCAAGGCTGGAAGAGACGGCTGAGCCGCTAATACCAAAACCAGGACTGCTGCATCCCCAAACTAACAGCCAAAAGTGAAAGTTAAAAAGCCATCCACACCTCCTGGAGTGAAGGGGTGGGGCTCGTGAGCACCTGGGTGGTGGAAGTGGGCTGCTGAGGCCTCTGAAGGAACCTTCTTTTTGCCTAGAAAGGAGTTCCAGCGATTCAAGAACAGAGGTCACACCTTCCAGAAACCCAGGCTTTGTGTCCCAAAACAAGATGGTGGTATGACTGTCTTGTGGAGGAAAGGGGGCCATCCACTGGTCTGATGAACTCTGAATCCCTTCCTCCATCTTTTCCACTGTGGTCAAATCAGCAAGAATGGTGGCCTCCCAGTTCCCTCAGAGTGCCCCATCCCTCCCTGCTGTTCTTCCTCAGCCCTCCACAGGGAGGGGTTGATGTTTCTGCCAGGCGGCCTCTGCAGCCTGTTACTGTTAATTTACTGTTTATTGAACACAAAAGCATATTTGCATGCTAATAAGATCCTTGTTTGTCTAAAAATCCAATTCAAAATTCTGATACATGCTGCGGAAATATTAAAAGCTTTTGTCCTCTATAATTAAGCCATTATGTTTCTATAAAATCAGAAAACTTTGTACAATAAAAATACTCCAAGATGTACAGTTGTCTCAAATCTGAGCTGATTCAGGCAGCATTCAGTGATGATGCATGGTGTGACAGCATGTATGGTGTAAATGTGTGCATGTTCCCTGTTCAGAACCAAGACTGCAGTGAAGTCATGTAATGCGACACGGAGTGCTGCCAAAAGCACCTCGGGTAAATTAGGCATTTGATTTTGAATTATTACTTCATTTTGTCTGTTTTTTGAGACAAGGTTTCCCTGTAGCCCCAGCTGGCCTGGAACTCACTAAGTAGACCAGACTGGCCTCAATCCACCTACCTCTGATCCACCAGCTTCTGTCTTCTCGGTGTGCTGGGATCAAAGGCATGCACCACCATACCCAGACTTTTGAATTAATTTTTGATGGTTGTGTGTTCAGAAACTTTTTTCTGTTGACAAATTTTTGAAATCCCCACATTTAGTTATGGTCTCCCATATGGGGTGTCAACTCACTGTTTAAGAAGCTTTGCAAAGCTGCCTTTCTTTGATCCACACACCAATAGGCCCTGGTTTTCTGCGCAGCTTTTGGTGTGAAGAGTTCTTGCCACCCACTCACTGCACACAGTCTCACCCTCCCAAGGACCGAGCCCCTGGTTTTCTTTCCTTGTTTCCTTAAAATCCAGTCTCAGTTTTTCCTTTTGTGTTGCTCAAAGGCCTTTTGGTTGCAGTTTGAGTGTGGTGGCCTGACCCCTTGCTGGGAGGGGACTGTGGTTGTGGGGCTGAGTTGGGAGCATGCTCATCTGGCTTCCTTCTGTCCCTACAGTTGTCATGTGAGTCTCCTTGGGAGCTACTGCCTGAGTGGAAATGCTCTCAGTGGTGGAGAATGGACTGGACCCTCGGGCTGCCATCCCGGTAGGTGGGCAAAGGGCGGAAGGGCTGCATGGGGCTGCTGTTTCATCAGTGTCTCAATGTTCTTTTCTCTCTCTCTCTCTCTCTCTCTCTCTCTCTCTCCAGGGTAACCTAGGCTGGTCTTAAATATGCCGTGTAGCCAAAGATGAACTCCTTATCCTCCTGCCTCCACCTCCAAGGTGCTAGGATTGCAGGCATATACCATCACACCCAGCTTTTGCCTGCTTCTCCTTTTGTGAAATGAACAAGCCTTGTCCAGAGAGAAAAAAAGTTATAGCAAAAGCAGGCTTCAAGGAGACCCTGTCCTTTCTAGATCGTGTGTGTGTGTATGTGTGTGTGTGTGTGTGTGATGCATGCATATAGGTGTACAGTGCTCATGCTCCGGCTTATTATTATTTTTTAGATACTTCATTTTTAAATTATGTGTTATGTGTGTGTGGGGTATGTGTACATGAACATCACTTTATTGATGGTGTTCTCTGAAACACAAAAGGTTTTAAGCTTGAAGTTCAATTTTAAATGTTCTTTTAAACATAAGCTATTATTAGATTATATATAAAGTATAAACTATTTCCAACTGAGTATTTGCCAGGTGCTGTGCCAAAAGAAAGCAGAGATAACCAGTCTGTGCAGCCTTCCATATGAGTGGTCCAGGTCTCCCAAGGGGCCAGGGTAGGATAGGGAGGATTATAAAGGCCTAGGCATGGAAGCCAGCAGGGAGACAGGAAGATCTGACCCTCTAGTGCCCAGGACAGGGAAGGCAGCTTTCTGAGACATGCAGTTCCTTGCTAATAAAGTTCCGGTAACTGGAGCAGAAAAGGCTTCTCCCAAGACGTTACCTCAGGATTCTGTTGAGCCCAAAAGCTACCTGAACTCCTGCTTCTTCAAGAAAACTGACAGCCAGTCCAGAGTGCCCAACGAAGTCCAGGGCCAAACAAAGGGCAAAAGGTTCTCTAAGAGGGGGTATGAAAGACTCTGGTAAACTGGGCACAAACACCTGTGTTTGAAAAATTCCCGGAAAACGGAAAATCTTCAGAGGTAGAAGACCTAAGGGCTGGAGGGAAATCTTCAGTCTCCAGGTAACAGACCTTAAATCCCCACTGTGCTTTAAGTGGATTCCCATTTTATAATCATAAAAATGATTTAGGGGAGGATGGGTGTGGTGGCACATGCCTTTAGTCCCAGCAGGCAGAGAGACAGGCAGAGATGCAGGCAGATCTCTGTGAGTTTGAGGCCAGCCTGGTCTACATAGTGAGTTCTAGGTCAGCTGGGGCTACGGGGAGACCCTGTCTCAAAAAGACAAAAAAAAAATCGGGGGGAGGGGGGCGGGTAAGGAGATAGCTCAGTTGGTAAAGTGCTTACTACATGAACATGAGGACCTGAGTTAAGCCCTCAGCACCCACATAAAAAGTTGGGCATGAGCTGGGTGTGGTGGTGCACGTCTATAGTCCCAGCACTTGGGAGGCAGAGGCAGGCTGATCACTGTGAGTTCAAGGCCAGCCTGTTCTACATAGTGAGTTCCAGGACAGCTGGGGCTACAGGGAGACCCTGTCTTAAAAGATCAAATAATAATAATGATGATGATGATGATGATGATGATGATGATGTCGGGGGAAGAAAGAAAAAATAAAGTGAAAAAATAGTCTCAAATAGTTGTCTGAGAATCTGTGTAGTGAACTGCTCATGTTGAGAATGTAGGCTCCAGAGATGGAGCACTGAGCCCGTAAGATGGCAATTTCAGATGCCACCTGAGAAATTTCGACAGAGCACATTGGGAGGAACCCCAAGGAGCCATCTCTGCCTTGAGCCATGATGAGGCCTATGGAGTGACTTAGACTAGCTCACCTCTCTCTCCCAGACCTTCTCTTTGTCATGTGCCTTGCCTTTATCTCACATGAGTCTTATGACTGGCAAGTTCCAGCGCAAGATCATTGAATCAGTGACTATTCACCATTGCCCTGGTTCTCATGGGGAAACTCAGGGATTGAGGGTCAGGGTATATAGACACACACCAGACAATAACGGGAGTAACTGGAAGCACTGAACACTCAGTTGCATGAATGCACATTCCGACCCGGAATTCTTAGAGCTGGGCCTTAAGTTGCCCTTTCTGTTTTCTTTCTTGATCTTGTTTTTGTTTCTTAAAATATTTTATTATTTTTTTACTTTATGTGTATGAACATATTGCCTGCATGTATGAAAGTGCAGCTGTGTTGTGCAATGCCTGCAGAGGTCAGAAGAGGGCATCGGATCCCCTGGAACTGGAGTTACTGACAGTTGTTAGCTGCCATGTGGGTGCTGGGAATCGAACCCAGGTCCTTGGGAAGAGCAGCCAGTGCTGAGCCATCTCTCCAGACCCATTTTTATTTGTTTTTTTTATGGAGTTTTTTGGGGGGGGGTTTGTTTGCTTGTTTTAATATGGGGGAGAGGGCCTGTACCAAGGCACACATGTGGAAGTCACAGGACAACTTTCAGGAGTTGGTTCTCTTCTTTCTACATGTGGATTCAGGAAATCAAACTCAGGTCCTCAGGCAAGTGCCTCACAAAGATCCACCTTCCTCTGCTTCCCAAGTGCTGGGATTAAAGGCATGTGCCACTACACAATGCCTATGTTTTGTATTTTAAATCAAACTTCAATCAATGTGAAGAATCATTATAGGGGATGTGGGCAAGTACTCCTCCTTCCTGACCCTGATGTCCTTATCTGTAAAATGAAGATAAGAACTCTTCAAAGGAAAGAGGATTAAAGGAGAAATCAGGATCTTTTAGGTACTCATCCCAGTCCCTGAGGACATCCTGAGTGTTGAATAGGTGATTTTATTGTTTGATTACTATGGAGTGCCTGTGATGTCTGTTCTCCAATTATTTGTCTTTACATAGACTACTGCAGAGCTTTTGTTGTTAGTGTTTGTCAGGTGTCTTTGTTGGGAAGCTTTCCCTGTGGGAAATGACTCTCAGCTTTGGCAGCCCACCACTGTGCGTTCTTCAGTGGCCCTTACCGGCCAGTAAAACAGAACCATATTCAACAGCACAAGGGTCCGCAATGGCCAAGGAAGCCTGAACTCTGCCCCACTTGGCAGGACTCTGTGTGTGTGTGTGTGTGTGTGTGTGTGTGTGTGTGTGTGTGTGTGTACAAGGGGCGGGAG